GGGTTTAGGGATGTTTATCTCTTACAGTTTAAGGGTTTAGGGTTGAGGGTTTAGGGTTTAGGATTTAGGGTTTACGGTTTAGGGTTTGGGGATGTTTAGGGACTATATATATTTATATTGGGGCTGTATTATCCCCCAATAATGGAGAATCAAATGGAAAAGCAGGTGGAAAATGAAATGGAAACAGGGGTTTAGGGTTTAAGGTTTAAATAGGGTTTAGGGTAAGCAGGAATAAGGGAGTAGATTATATAGGAGTTTTATAGAGAATATCTTCCCTACTGACCCTTAATAAGTTTTTGCTTTTTGGAATCCTTTGCAGAAGGGTTGCCGTTCAAAGCTTGGGGTCTGCGGGTTAGGAGCGACTGAAAGCCATTCATTTTTGTGTGCAATGCGCTTGTGATATGCCTTTGTGGGAAGCATTCATTCGGGAGAAGCGCTTGGGAGAAGCGTTTTTGAGAAGCACTTGTGAAAAAGCGTTTGTGAGAAGAGAAGCGTCTGCGAAGCATTAGGGGTGGCAGGGACCTTTTGGAGAGGGTCGCGGTTGCCATCATCTTCTTCGCGTGTCAAAACTGTCAACAGTCACGGGGATCCGGGATGTCTTTGTTGCCACTCTCCTAATCGTTGTCGGTTTTACCCCGTCGGGTCGCAACCCTCCTATGTATCTAGTTACTGGACCTTTGCGTCTGATGTCGCGCCTGAGGATTATCAATTGTCTCTGGGATCGGGGGGAGGCGGGGTCGCGTCCCTCCCGATTCTCGCCGCTTTTGGACCCTATCTTCATTCCCTTGATTCTAAAGTGGTATATCATCACGAGTTTATCTGAAAGCTGACAATGATCTTTGCCTGATGCCAGTAGCTTTCCCAGGGCCTGAACAAGTCGAAACCCTAAACTGAAACCCTAAGCTTGATGGCCCCTTCTCGATGGCTTCTCCGGGTAGTTCTTTTACATCTTTTTCCCGGTGGTTGCTGTTAGCAAAGTTCATTCATTATAATGTTTCCTTCCTAACCAGGGCCTCAATACCCCATTCAAATCCTCATACATCCATCGACTTCCGAATCCTTCCCTTTTCGGAGAAACTCCCATCTTGCACAGGTTCTGAAGATGGTCAGCGCCAACCTAGCGGAGAAGTCCCCACTGATGCATCCTTGACCTTGTTTCTAACATGTTTCAGATTTTCTACGGTAACGCCATGGGCAGGAAGATTAAACCTTCTCCGGACTTGCGTTAGGACGCCAATTCTTCCCCGAACACTGAATCCTGAGGCACAATCGAAGCGGCCAAGAATCATCATCCTAGGACCTAGGAATCGGCGTAGGGAGCAAGGGAAAGTATTATGTAGGGATTATATAGGGACATTATCATACCCTCTTATTCCTGGCCCTAGTCGCAACCAGTAAGGTAATGTGAGGTGCAGAGCCCTGAAGATGTGAGGAGATGTATGGAAAGACATTGACCCGTCATGTAGAAGCCTGACAGGTCGGAACTGTTATACTGTAAGCCATGCATCGTTGGAGTAGTGTAGAAAAACGATAAATCCCATTGTTTTCTGATAGAACTTAGAGCATAATATGCCGCAAGCCCCGATGATAGTGATTCAGATTATCTGATTCTCTATAGATCCGCATGCGAGACGCGCCACGTCTATTCGTCTATGAATTCCCGTACGCCCCGCGTAATGCATCTATCTTATATACTAACTAGGAGCACCTAGAGTATTCACGGTTGCTGGGGCAAGCCCTGAACCCGCCCAACGCCCAGCACGAAGCAATGTCAACCAGTAAACTCAGAACCCTAAACCCCAAACGGTAAACCCTAAACGCCAAACCCTAAACCCTAAACCCCAAACAAACCTTGAATGCTGTTCCCCACACCTGACACTCTGAAGTTCTTTGAGGCACACCATGGTCAGTGACATGCTCTTCGAACGGGATGCGGTTCAGGCTGCCATTGCAGCTTTGGACCTGGGGAACAGCAGCTGCTTGGCATGGGAGTTTCCTAAAAATAGGGATTTTATAGGGGTATGTCGGAATATATGAATATATATATATATACACAGGGGTTTATAGGGATGTACAGGGTCCGGGGTTTTCAACATTAGGGGTGTCTTTTTGGAGGTCCCCATAGTAAGGACGATAGTGTCTTGGGGTCTCTATTGGGGTCCCCCTATTTAGGGAGGAAACTACCGCATCTCATTGTCTTGCTTTTGTGCTCCACTTGGTTGCTTTGATTTTGCCTCCGTGCGTCGTCCAGGTCCTTTGCTAACATGTGCTTGCTTGCTCAATCAGCTGCTGGCACGCTCGCTCAGGCTGCCTCTGCATTTTTGGTTTGTTTGTTTGTTTGTTTGCTTGCTTGGTTGCTTCTCCATGTTGTGGAATTCGGTGTGTTTTGCGTGCGCCGCCGGCTTGAATCTCTAAAAACATCCAGTGAGTGAATGAGTGTCGCCCCGCAGGTGACAAGCAGAAGTGTGGAGTTGTTGTTGGGTTGGTCGACAAGGCTCCCATAATTAAGCTTACATTTGGTGTGGTCGCGTTTCGTTGCTAGACCATAGCTGAATCCGCACAATCAGGCTATGAAGTGGCCTGCAGTTGGCTGAGACGAGATACAAGCTGGCGCAGGTGGGTGCCGCTTCGAACCGCATGCAATGCTGGCTTTGGGCTTTTAGACGGACAAGGCCAGTACTTGTTTACCCGGCAAGGGTCTGTGCAATGCGGCATGTGTCCGGCGGGGAGATTCTCTGAGGAGTTTGAGGATGGGGTTGGCACCACCCGACGCTGTGTTGCTTGTGCGGCTGGCAGTTACCAGAAGCTCTCCGGGGAGACGGCCTGTATTCCCTGCGAGGCTGGTACCATGGCTGCAGCGGGCGGTTCCACGGAATGTGAGTCTTGCGGCCTCGGATCCTTTGCCAACAGCACTGGGATGTCGCACTGCGTGGTGTGCTCTGATGACCCGGCCCGCTGGACCACCAGCGAACGAATGAATACCTCGACTGGTGAGACTTACTGGTTGTTAACAGGGAATAACGGAATGTAATCTCCGTAATACATTCCCTATTCCCTATATTATCCTTCTATCACTCCTACATAGTCTTTACAGAACCCCATATTATATCCCCATGTATGCCCCTATTCCCTAGGAATCCCAAGTAAGGAGATGTGGGTCCCCGTCCGAGGGGCCTCTTCTCAGAGCTATTGCCGCTGCATTGCTGGGACGCACCTCGAAGATGGTTGGTGCCAGGACCTCTGGCGCATGGTGACATCTGCAAACTTAGTGGGGGTTAGTGGAGAATAAAGGTATATTTCCACTATGTACATATAGAGGTTTTAGGAATTGTAGGAAATAAGGGAATATAGTCCTTCGGGATTATATAGGGATTATATCCCCTATGCCCTACGAACAACCAGGAAGTAAAGTTGTAATATCCAAAGCTTCTTCCGTTCAAGTCATCCGCATCACTCAGACATCAAGGCTACCTGCAGGTGTTCGGCGCCCTAAACCCTAAACCCTGAACCCTAAACCCTAAACCCTGAACCCTAAACCCTGAACCCTGAACCTGAAGCATATACAGGGTTGAGGGTTTAGGGGTAATAGGGAATAAGGGAATAGATCATATAGGGATTATATAAGCCTTATATTCACTTATTCCCTACTATCAAGCAGTAAGTAGATCTGATCTAACGTCACCCTGGATCCGCGAGTGTAAGTCATCGGTTGTGATCTCTTGGTATGACAGGTTGCTGCACTCAGACCAGGTTAAACGTTAGGCGCTCAACTGTACCCCGGAATGCGGGGCTTCTCTTCATCTTGGGTGCGGAGGTTCGAGTTTCGGGACTAGGGATCAGGGTGCTGTTTAGTGAAGCTCCTCTTTCTAGAATGAGCTTGAAGAAGTGGACCAGCCTTTGGAAATTTTCGCTGGAATCACATTCAGAATCAATAGCTGGCTTTCCCTCTCAACTGCTGTGGGACATGCTTACTTTCTGAACCTTTCCGAACCCCTGCCAGCCGGAGCCCCACCATAGAGCAAAATGCTGGACTACAAAGACCCTGCGCCCTGAAATCCTTAAACTGCAAGCCCTAGTCCCCATTGTTCCCCGGATGTTGAAGAATCATCGAGGGTCCATGAAAACCAAACCCTAAATCCCAAACAACTCCGAATCCTGCATCCGAAGCCCGGGACCCTGCATCCTAGATCCGAAATCCTGAGCCCTAGGTCTGAAACCCTAAAATGCTAGATCTCCAACCCTCAACCCCCCAACTGTGAAGGATTGCCCCACCCTAAACCCTAAGCCCTATAGTCCCCCTTAATTAGATAGAATATGGGGTATATGGGGATCTTATTATAATATACCCAAAGCCATATTCTAACTACTTAAGGGGGACTATACCCTAAACACCTTAAACCCTAAATCCTAAACACTAAAAGTCCGCTGTTCTTTTTTTCAAGCCCTAAACACTGGAGGACTGCCCCATGGGCTCTATCTGCGCCGGGTCAGGGCAGCTGGAGCTGCTTCCGGGCTTTTACTCTTCACTGCTGAGCCCTGGAGGGGTTTTCGAGTCTAGGCTCTTAGTGATATGGCTTTTTGAGGTTGAAGGGACAGGATCTAGGATTTAGGGATCTAGGGTTTAGGATCTAGGATTTAGGGATTTAGGGTTTAGGGATTTAGGGATTTAGGATTGGGTCATTTTCCCTAAGCAGCAACTGTCTGAGGTCTTCTTGTATTACCTACTGTGGTAACTGATGCTTTAAGGGTGAGTTACCTAAGGTTTGGGGCCGTTTGGGGTTTAGGGTTTGTGATTTGGGGCTAAGGGTATCTGTAGGACTAAAAAGATAGGGTCACAGGTGTAGGGATTATGCTTAGCTCGTTCGGGACTGTGGTTTGTATGGAGCATCGTTTACGGAAATTACAGCGGGGCTCCCTCCTGGATTGAACCCTATGGCGGGGCCTTGCTGCTCGCATTTTTTCTGCCAAAGTTTTGCAAAACCAGGTCTTCCGCCAAAACCAAAGCTCTACACCCTAAATCCCAAACTCAAAGCCCCAAACCCTTAGCCATAAATCCTAAACCGTAAACCCTAAATCCTAAATCCTGCACCCCAGCAACCCTAAATCCTAAATCCTAGACCTTGAACCCTAAACCCCAACACCCTAAACCCCAGCAAGTGAATCCGAGGAGTGCTTCGGCCTAGCAGAGCGATGTCCTGGTGGACTTCCAGGAACCTGTGCCAGAGGCATGGGCTGTGTTGAGCTTCTCTTTGGCTAGCTGGGAGTGAAGGAATGGAACAGAAAATGGAAACTATTATAGGGTTTAGGGCTTAGGGTTTAGGCTGGGAATGAAGGAATGGAAAAGAACATGGAGACTACTAGAATGGGTTATATAGGGGCTACTATAGGGATCCATTCCCTCATTCATAGTTAACCAAAGGTAAGTGAAGTCTCGTAACTTACATGTGGCGACTTCTCAAAACAAGGCTACCTCAAGCTGTATACATATGTATAGACTTATTGACATAATCGACGACTGAAGCAAAAAAAACACCTGGTGTGGGGTTTATCTAAAGATGTTTGCTGAGTTGTGCCGGGGCTACTACATGGGAACACCCGGTAGGCTGCCATATTCAGGGGCGTATGGTGGCTTGTCAACGCTGCGGGATTCCTGAATCTTTCATTGTCATGGACCGCAATCCTTACTTTTGCCTAAAAGCACACCCTCTCCCCCAAAAACCAGCAAAATTCTACAGGGCCTCCAAATCTATTTGAACAAAAACCATCCCGCTGGGCTTAGGGAGGCCTAGGCTCAGGCGGCAGGGCTGGGTTCGAGATGTCCAATCAAAGTCCCACGGGAACAGTTCAATGCCGGATAGGGATTTTTGGATGGGGTGTAGAGCACTGCCGCTCGCGCTGGAATGCTAGGGTTATATTGGGATTATATAGGGGTTGTATAGGGGCTATATAGGGATAATGGAAAAGAAAATGGAAACTACTATAGTATACTGTTCAGGGTTTTCAGAATCCTGTTACATCCGCCTTGGCATTAATCAAGGGTGGCAGGGGCTGGGCCGGAAAGGCCAAGTGTCAACAAGTTTAGTCACGTCTGGGTCATGACTGCAGAGCCCAGTGAGCGGCGTGGTAGGGATGGTATGGAAGTATATTTACCTAAGCAAACTTTATCATCACAAGCTTTAGGCGCCTGTTTTCAGGCCGCGACAACGTGAGCATTGCTTGCGCCAACTGTCTCCCTGGCTGGCGCGAGGATGATGTGCGGGGAGAATGTGTGCCCTGCTACCCTGCTTTACTTTGGCCTAACCTGGAGCTGTCTTTCTTCTCCCAACTTGACATGGAACCTGAAAATTTGGCTCTGCAAAGCTTGCTGTTCCGTAACAAGGGTGCTATTCGGGGTTCTATGAGGGTAGGAAGGGGCAGGATGACCTGGGGTACCGTTATTGCTAAGAAGATTTAGTACCCATTCGGGTAATATTAGGGTTATATTGGGGTTATTATGGAGGATAATGGAAAAGAAAATGGAAACTACTATAATGGGTTATATGGGTGGTTGTCAGAATTATGGTAAGATTTAGCCAACCCAGGTTACAGCAACGACTACATTGTGGCTGCGGGTATCGGGCTGACGATGCTGGTGCTTGCCGTGTCCTGGCATTTGCTGATGATTTGGGCAGGCAACAGGAGCCAATCGCGGCCTTTAGTCCTGGCTTCTTGGCATTCAAATCAGGCACCCCAATATACTATAGTAGTCTCCATTTTCTTTTCCATTGTCCCTATAAATCTACAGTAGTTTCCATTTTCTTTTCCATTATCCCTATAAATCCCCGATATACTATAGGGTGTGCATCAACAGTTTGGCTATTCCGTAAGCTCCAAGCTCCAAGTCCTGCGCAATAAGCCCAATCTATGAGCCCCAAACCCGACCCCTAAGCCTAATTAAGTCCCCAGACCCTAAACCCTAAGCCCTAAGCCCTAAATCCTATACCTTCAACCGCGGAGCCAGCAGAGTTCAGGCTGGAATTGGTATGGGTCAGGTGGTCACCTTCGCCCAGCTACTGGATTGGGGTTTTGGGTTTATGGTTTAGGGCTGTTCGGAATCTCAAGTTAAGTTCCCATAATATGTGTGTATATGGTTTAGGGTATAGGGTTGAGGGTTTACGTTACCATCATGGGTATACATATGGGACCGACTCTTGAAACAAGGTCCCATCATTGGGATCTACTGTAAATGATATTGAGGCTGCCGAAAATAGGGGGTACCATTCTAGGGAGTCCCCATAATACGGATTCTACTATACTGGGGTTTATATTGGCCCCCCCAATTCATGGAAACTACCATAAGGTTTTCCTACCGACAACCCATAGTAGTTTCCATTTTCTTTTCCATTATCCCTATATAACCCCAATATGTACCCTAATAAACACCCTCTTAGACTACAGTATATATAGCCCAGGCTGCTGTATGTCATCCGACAGTTCGGGGTAAAATGGGGGGAGCCATTTCTGACCCTGCTGAAGATGCTGGACATTGTAGCCTTCGATGTGCTGCTGAGTTCCCTGAGTTCCATCCGATGCTTTGCGCAGTTCTCTGCGCTCTCATTATTCATCGTGCAGACGTGTTTTTTCCCATGCGTGCTTGTGGTCATTCTGGCCCTGACCCACTTCTGCTACAGCAAGGTGAAGAGGGCTTCTGGCAAGGAGGTTCCCCTACGTCTGTTTGGACGGTCCATGGGATTTCTGGCGGTGCTGTTTTTCATTGCGGTGTGTTCCATGCTGCTGAGGCCCTTTCGGTGCAAGGGACATCCAAATGGCCTGTACACTGTGGTTGACTACCCAGACGTTTTCTGTGACGGGCAAGGAGTTCATCTGCAGATGTGCTTGTGTGGTGCTTTTGGCCTTTTGGCCCCGCTGGCTTTCCTGTCGCTTTGTGCGTGGGTCATAGTTGTTGAGTTTCCAAGAAAGGTCAGGGCTGCTGAAGCCAATTTTGTGCGTGCGTGGTCCTTCCTGGCAATGCGTTTTCGACCCGGAGCTCAAGGCTTTGCGGTGCTATTCCTCTTCCGAAACTTGATCATTGTGCTGTGCCCTTTACTTCCGTCCGAGACTGCCAGGATGCTCACGATGAATTTTATCCTTTATGTCAGCTTGTGTTGCTCTTCTTATGTGAAGCCGTGGCGGGTTCGGCTGAGTACGCACCTGGACCTCATGATGCATGCAGGAGCCCTCACCATTCTTGATATTGGTGCCTTGTTCGTCCCTTCCGCAGACCTTCCAAGTTCCATGCTCGCATGCGTGGTGATTGCCATTCTGGTGGCAACGTCTCTGACGCTTGCTAGCCTATATGGTCTGCTCAGGCATATCATCTCGAAGACCCACAAGCGGTACGCTTTCTTCATGTGCCATCACAAGCAGGCTGCAGGCAGCTTGGCACGTCTTTTCAAAATAGAGCTGCAACATCGATCAGCGAAATTCCGGACCTTTATTGACTCTGATGACTTGAAGGATCTATCGAAGCTCTTCAACCATGTCGCGCATGATGTGGAGAAGATGGTAATTCTTGGGAGCCCAGCTGTGCTTTCAAGGCTCCTTGGCACTTAAGCGTCACCCTAGACTGTATAGTCCCCCTTAAGTAGATAGAATATGGCTTTGGGCATATCATAATAGAATCCCCATATACCCCATATCCTATCTACTTAAGAGGGACTATAAACATTTGAGTTACCGTGTGTTCCTGTTATAGTACACGACACCAGATTTTTTTGGCGGTCGCAAAGTTCCGTGAAGGAAATGGTGTGTGGGTGAAATGGTAACTGCGAGGCAGCAAGGTGTACCAAGCCTGCTGATCCTGGGTTGCTGTCAAGGAGCTACTACAGTGTGGGAACCATGTTGATTGCTACATATACACCTAGTATTATGGCCCATTAAGGTAACTTAACTTAAGTTCCTTAACAGCAACCCAGGATCGTCTTGCCTGGTTTCACCATGCCCGATGAAGCTTTCAGGAGACACTATGCTTACGCCGTTGGTGATGTCAGAGACTTGTCCAGTTTGGGGATAGGGCTACCTGAAGTCACGGATACATTGAAGTGGCTTTGGACCCTGGACTCTTTGGATTTGGGCGTCGTCAGTGCGGAGAGTATTGACGATGTTGTCAGCAGCCTCACCCAGAGCTCGGGCACCAGCATTTGCCAAGGCTCAAAGCAGAAGGATGTGGATGCCGTGATTCTGGCTGACCCGGAGGACATGGAAGCCGTCTCAACGGCTTTTGTCCTTTATGACCTGCTTGCCCCCCTTCTGGTGGGCACGGCAAGTCTGAAGCTTGCGGTCCTCACACGTGATCAGCAGATTCCGACGGATTCCGTGTGCGCTTTACTAATCTGCAGCGATGGCGGCTTGGCCTCCAAGCAGGTCGCAGAGTGGCTAATGCAGGCAAGCTATCTGACCTTCTGTGCAGTCCTGCCCATCCTTGTGACCGACGAATTCCAGTTCCCATCCCTCTCTTCCTTCCGCGAGATCGCGAGCAGTGGTATAGAAAACGGCGACGCAGCCTCCTATTTCAGGATCATAAAGGCAGTTTTCCAGGAGGTCGCGATTCTGTTCACCCCCCACTCCTCCTCGGCTGCTAGCTCTCCACTTTAGGCAATTTTTGATGTTATTTCAGTTAGATACCTTGGGTACTGCCCCCTATTATCCAACTGTTTCTGAGGGGGGGGGCAGTACCGTTTAAGCCGCTTGTTATGATATCGGCTGTCTCTCGTTGCCCCTAGGGAAGTAAGTACTGGAATGATGAAGGGATCACGGAGTCCGCCTTTGATATTACCCCCGAAGATTCAGAATCAAATGGAAAAAAGGAAAATGAAATGGAACTCTAGGTCTTTTAAAAAAGGTATATAGAGATTATACGGGGTTTAGGAATATCCTTAAATTACCCCAATAATGGAGATTCAAGCGGAAAAGACAATTGAACATGACATGGACACTGGGATGGCATGGGGTTTCAGGGTTCGGGGTTAAGGGGTTAGGTATTAGAGTTTTGGGTTTAGTGGCCCTCAACCCTGAACCCTCAACCGTAAAGGTATCAGAGTTTAGTGGTTTAGTAGGGTTCAGGGATGATGTTGAGGGTGCAGCTGAGGCAGCGGAGTTGGATCTTAGGGTCCAGCAGATTCTGGGTAACTCAATCATTCTTTCAGTTTTCTTGCTAAGGAATTCACAGAATAGGTCTAGGTTAGGAGGAACCCCCACCCTGTAATAGTGGTATCATAAGAATATGAGAGGACCCTAATATGATCCCAATTATCCCTTATATTCATTATTGCAGGGTGGGGGGTCCACCTAAGGTCGAAGGAGGATTCAGAATATAGTCCCCCTTAGTAGATAGAATATGGGGTATATGGGGATCCTATTATAATAAACCCAAGGCATATTCTATCTACTTAAGGGGGACTATAGGTCTAAGGGGGATTCCAGACGTATCCTTTATACATTTCTTGGCTCCAGGTTTCCTTCTTCTAAGTAAGCAAAAAGATTTGGCAGTTTCCCAAAACAGGGGGACCCCAATGTAGACCCTCAAATAGTATCATCCTTAATATAGGGACCCCCCCAAGAGGTATCCCAAAATTCTTGGAAACTCCCATTTTTTCTGGTTGGAGACACGGGCACGAAGGATTGCGCAGCGGCTCCAGGATTCGTGGGTTTTAGGGTTGCGCCTGCTCGGTTTAGGGAGTTTAGGGTTTAGGGCCTTAGGGTTGTACCTTTCGTCCTTTGAGGGACCCTTAAGGGACTACATGGGCTCACACTTGAATAAGGGCGATGTGGGATCTGTATTTGGGGGCCACGACTTCAAGGTTGCTCGAATCCTGGAATCCTAAACCCTGGAACCCCTCAACCCTAAGCTCTGAACCCTGAATCCTGGAACCCTACACCATATACTTTGGCTCCAAACCTTGGAACTTTTGGAGGATGGCGATTCGCAGCCTTTGGCAGCGCGCTGCGCCTCCATCCTCTTCGAGCGCGGCCGCGACGATGAGAGGGAAGAGTTTGCTGCCTGCTTCACCAACAGCCGCTGGGGCGATTTGGGTTTAGGGTTTAGGGTTTAGGGTAGCTGCTGGGGCGATTTGAGCTCTAGTCTGAATTCCTTAAAGTGGGTTATATAGGGGATTATATAAGGGACTAGTATAGGGCTTATTGAGGGGGATACTAGGAGTTTAGACTATAGCTCATATAGGGGCAACCTCAAGGCTCTGGTGTAATTGAGAATTGATGCTTCGTGTCCACGTACTCAAGCAGTAAATACTTTAATGAGG